AAAAACACCCATCTTAATGGGCTGACAGCTTAAGGCTAATTGCTCCTCACTGGGTTGTGTGTTTTTTTTTTTTTTCTCGGGTCCTACCTGACAGCTGTCCAGCAGCGGCCGGCGTCCAGGGCGCGGCCACCAGGACCAGGACCAGGACCGGGACCAGGACCGGGGCCAGGGCCGGGGCCAGGGGCCACCGGGCCGGGGCCGTCGCGCGCCCTCTGGGCGGGCCACCGGCGGGAGCGGGGGTTTTACGCACGGGCTCCATCAGCGCATCCCCGGCCGGTTCTCCTTTGCTCTGTGCCGGACTGCGAGCATCCGCGCCCGCCGGGGACCCGGAGCCTTTCGATTCCGCTTTTTTTCTGTTCCTGAGGACAGGCTGATGAAAGAAGAAGAAGAAGAAAAAAGAAAAAAAAGGCGAGAAAAGCTCCGCTCGGCTCGGTTGGTTTTTTCTGGGGGTTTTTTGTCCCTTCCCCTCCGCGGGTCCACTTATCCAAAACTCCAGCCTATTCCTGGCACGCGCGGAGTATTTTTAAACCTGTCCTGCTGCAAGTCCACCTTCCAAAGCCTGTCCCCAGCCCACCGGTTGTCTTAGACATTCCCCCCCCTCTCTCTCTCTCACTCTCTCTCCCCCTTCTCCTCCTCCTCCGAACAGGACTGAAATTCCTCAACTCAACTTCTTTCCACCCTCCTCCTCCTCCTCCTCCTCCTTCTCTACAGCCTCCCTCCTTTTCTCAAAGGTTGTGAGAAACTCCACAGCCACCCCCCCTCCCTCCCCCTGTCCCATTCGCCTTTTAATGATCCCCAGAAGTTGTGGGAAAAGGGGGAAAGACCGGCACAGATCAGCACTTTTACGCAGGGCTGCAGACCAGCTCCTGATCCGATTCTGACCCCCTATTCTGGGCCCCTTTTTCCCCCCAGAGATGCCCCTAAAACTGGCTCTTTGGACCGGTCATCATCATCCAGACGAGTGTCCGGCTCTGGATCGCCACGCGACAGGGACGCGGTGGTGTGTGTGTGTGTGTGTGTGTGTATGTGTGTGTGTGTGTGTGTAGTTCCGGGTGTGTGGGAGTTGGTGATGGGGGGGGTCCACCCGGCTACCCGGAGCCCGGGCCCCTCTGGCCCTTTAAGGGTCTCCTCGGTTGTGTTCCCAGGGTCTTTACTGGAGACCCGGAGGGACTGAGAAAGACCCCATTGTGTGGTCTCTCCTTTGAATAGGAGCCTGAGCTATGGGCTCTCACTCCTCTCTGATAGGAGGGAGGGAAGGAGGGAGGGAGGGGGGGGGACACAGAGGGGGTCCTGGACGAGAAAGAGGGGTTCGACTAAAAAACAAAGTTTCGATGGGGTTGGAGGAACAGGGTTTGGGTTTGGAGGGGGAGGGGCACCAGGCCTTGCACAAAACCCAGGGAACCCGGTTTGATGCACAGGGTCGCGTGGATCGATCTGAAAACACGCACATGCGACGTGCACGCCTGGAAACGAGTGGTTTCTAAGACTCCCCGTGCACTGGGAAGGACGGGGGGGACGGAAGAGCTACCTGGTTCCCAGAGTGGGAAACAGCGTCCCCACAAATACAAGTGTCCCGGCGTCTGAGGGCACGAGCGTGGGCTCCCAGCGCCCCCTGCAGGCCGTTTTCTGTCATTTCAAGTCCAACAAACTATGAAGAAACTTTGTTTTTGCTCATAACATAACATGGCTCATAATTATACTCAATAGAACAGTCATAATAACAATTATGCAGTTTTGTTTTGGTCTCTCCTGGTTTGCAAATCAGCGTAAAAAAAACAAATCTTTGTACAAATATGAGAAAAATTCTAAGAACAAATGCCTAAATTCTGTGTTTTGTGGTTGTATATTTATGTTAAATATATGCACCGGGTCCTGGTTTATTATTAAAAAAATTGTGTCTGTGTTATGTAAAAAAAAGTACCTTTATTTTTAATTTTATTTGTCTTGACTGGCAAAAAGTACAACTGTGGAAAAGTGCACAATGAGTAAAGGTCAGCTCCTCCGTGACCTTTGACCTGTACGACTGCCCACAGATCAAATGTTTCTAGTTATTTGAAACAATGTCTAACTTCAGACTCAACTTTATTCAAACTCCTGATGGCTTCGAATAAAAAAAGGATTCCTGGAGCTCTTTGCTTTTGTAAAAACAGATATCTGGGACAAATCTAATCCTCTTGTGAGGTGTTTTTTTTTGTTGAGCCCTGTCAGGCCTTTTTAACTTTGGCTGGTTCAACCACTGATCCTCCGAGTGGGTTTTCTGGGTAACTCAGAAACAAGATAGTCTAGATTCATGGGATGAGATTAGTATAGACGGGAGACAGGGGATTCAAACAAATGTATATATTCTACTTTGTAAGTTGCTTTGGATAAAAGCCTCTGCTAAATGCGTAAATGTCACTTTGTTTTAAAATATAAAAAGTATAGGGAACACATTCCGGGGGAACCAGGACCTTTATGCCAGAGTGTTCTGGGTTGGAGTCCCGGGGGAACCAGGACCTTTCTGGGTGGAGTCTGCATGTTCTCCTGTGTCTGTGGGTTCTCTCCGGGTTCTCCGGCTTCCTCCCACCGTCCAAAAACCTGCATGTTAGGTTGTTGGACTCCAAACTGCTCTTAGTGTGAGTGTGTGTGGTTGTTGGTCCTTGTGTGTCTCTGTGTGTCCCTGTGATGGACTGGGGGCCGTCCAGGGTGACCCTGCCTCTCCCCATTGGCTACTGGGATAGGCTCCAGTCCCCCCCGACCCCATTAGGAAATATAAGGTTATGGAAATGGATGGATGGATGAATTTGAAAGTATTTATTTGCCTCTGGAGCTGCATTCTGCTGATTGTCAGCAGGGTAGCGTCTCTGTTATATAACATTATTTCAGTGTTGTTGTAATGTAAAGAATTTAATCCTGCTCGATACTGGACAAAAACAATCTTGGCTTCCATTGCAGGGATGATGCCCGTATCCCAGGTCTGCCCAGATTAACATCTTGGTGGGAATTATAATCCCCGATTTTTAATCTGCCCATGTGAGAGGTGACCCGATCCCTGCTCCTCTGGCCAGCCGAGGCCTCAGAACTAAATACCGGGTCCACATCCACCCGGTATATGTTTTATGTGTTCGGGTGCTGTCAGATGTGCGTTTTCTCTCCCGGGAGGGCGGAGTCTGACCCGGCATCTGGTCAGGCCCTCGGCGCCAACGGCAGGATCCTCCTGATGGGATTGCAGTGATTATTTGGGTCTTTGACGCTCATGTGATGTTTGTTTCTGGCTCCAATCGCTCTGGCAGCGGCCTGGATTTAAACGGGGAAGACCTACATAGTGGGGATTATTCCTGGTCTCTCTCTCTCTCTCTGTCTCTTTATCTATCTATCTCTGATTCCGACACTATTTATCAGCATCCCTTGCTTTGCCTCTCATTTCGGCTCCCGGACTCACAGGCATGAGCACAGCAGGCATCCATCGAGGCTTCCTCAGGAAGTACGGTAAGTTCTGGTTCCTCCAGAACCACTATGGCTCGCCTCTTCCCTCCTGTGTGAGGAGCTTCTGTAGCTATTTTTTAGCTTCTCGTTGGCTTCTCGTTGACTTCTCGTTGGGTTCTCATTGGCTTCTCATTGAATTCTTGCTGGCTTCTTCTTGGCTTCTCGTTGGATTCTTGTTGGTGTCTCATCGGCTTCTTGTTGGCTTCTTGTTGGCTTTTTGTTAGCTTCTTGTTGGCTTCTCATTGGCTTCTCATTGGCTTCTCGTTGGCTTCTTGTTGGCTTCTCATTGGATTCTTGTTGGCTTCTCGTTGGCTTCTCGTTGGCTTTTTGTTTGCTTTTTGTTGGCTTCTCATTGGCTTCTCGTTGGCTTCTTGTTGGCTTCTCGTTAGCTTCTTGTTGGCTTCTTGGGATGCTTCTCATTGGATTCTTGTTGGCTTCTCGTTGGCTTCTCGTTGGCTTCTCGTTGGCTTTTTGTTTGCTTCTTGTTGGGTTCTTATTGGCTTCTCGTTACCTTCTCATTGGGTTCTCGTTGGCTTCTTGTTGGCTTCTTGTTGGGTTCTCGTTGGCTTCTTGTTGGGTTCTTGTTGGGCATCGTGTGGGCAAACATGGATCCCCTTTTGAAGCATCCTGTATTTGTGCTCTCCTTGTGTCTAATCCTGCTAAACAACTGACGTCGTCCTTTGAGAAACGTTCTGGACTTTTATCTTTAAAGTTTGTTGACTTTGGTTGGTTGGTTTGGTTGATTTGACTCTTTGACATGCTTCACTTTTCCAAAACGGCTGACAAAAAAGTCGTTGCGTTGGGCTGGAACAGCTGCCTGGATTGTTGACAAAGAGGGGAAACTATCCCAGAGCGGAGCTCCGACTGAGTGTCATCACTCTGTGAGTCACAACTGGTCCCAGATGCGTTTTACACATTCAGACGAGATGTCAGCGCACGGAGCCAAGTGGTGTTCGGGGTCTGAGCTTTGTGATGGATCTCTGGATCCCTGCCCTGCACATCTGGACTGAGTATTCTGAGTATTCCTCCATGTCACTTGGAGGTGGATCACAGTTTTCTGGCTATTTTAAGACGTCCCA